TTATCAACCTCCTTCTCCATGGAAGTAAGTTGTTTCTTTAAATCCTTGTTAATTTTAGAAGCATTGACATATTCATCATAGAGTTCATTAAAAGCTTCTTGTACATCATCTAAAGTATGGGAATCTTTAGAAGTGGTACATACCTCTTCCGGTGGTTCCTCGTGTGCCATGAGGCAAAGGTTGGCGCTTTCATTTTCTTCACCTTCCGATGATTCGTCGCCGGAATCACCTCCCCACGAGATGTAAGCTCGGTGCTTCTTGAACGGTTTCTTCTCTTTCTCGTTTTTGGCATTTGGGCATTTTGGCTTGATATGCCCAACTTCTCCACATCCATAGCACTTGGGTGGTCCTCCATGCTTTTTACCCTTTCGTTCATACTCCTTGCGCATGAACTTGTGGAATTTCTTGATGACAAGCCCGAACTCGTTGTCTTCATCACTTGATTCCTCCATGGCGGGTTCTTGGCTTGAGGAAGCCTTGAGTGCAATCCCCTTCTTCTTTTGTTCACCTAAAGGAGGGGAATAGAATGGTAGACTCATAGGTTTTGAGGTTACCTCTAAGCCCGTCAATGGTGACGTTGGTGACACCAATGAACTCTTGGATGGCATCGGCTTTGGACCGCCACTCCGGTGTGAGACTTCACAGGATTTTTCTCACAAGCTCCTTGTCCGTGTACGTCTTCTTAAGAGCATGGAGATCGTTGACGATTTTGGAGAATCGTTCAAACATCTCATCTATTTTCTCATTCTCCTTCATACGAAACAATTCATATTCATGGGTTAGAAAATCAATTTTAGCTTCTCGGACTTGATCCGTACCTTCGTAGGTGATTTCTAGTTTATCCCACATTTCATTCGCGGTGGTGCAACAAGATATCTTCCGGTAGTCATCCGGGTTTACGGCACAATAGATGATATTGATGGCCTTGGCATTGTTTTCCACTTTCTTGATGTCTTGTGCATCATACTCGTTCTCGGTCTTAAGAACGTTGGTTTCCCCGACCTTCTTCATTGGCACGTCTTCACCATTTTTGATAATTCTCCAAAGGAGAAAATTGGTGGATTGGATGTAAATCCTCATCCGCTCCTTCCAATAGGTGTAGTTCGTTCCGTCAAACAACGGAGGCCTTGTGGTGGATTGCCCTTCACCTAAACCTGCGTATAAACTTTGAGTAGAAGCCATTGATCGTTTCTCTCAAACGGTTAAGTCTTACAGAGAGTAAGGCTTTGATACCAATTGTTAGAATAAAGGCCCAACGCTAGAGGGGGGGTGAATAGCGTTTAAAACAAAATCGCAGGAAATTAAAACGAGAGCGTTAAAGTAAAGAGCGTAAAGAAGGAGCACACCGGATTTTATCCTGGTTCACCACAACGTGTGGCTAATCCAGCCCCCCGAGAGACTCTCTCGAGCTACACTAACTCCGTTAAGCTTAAGGGTGCTTAACAAACCGATACAACTTGAGAACCCGAGTCACACGAGCCTCAACACCTTTGCTCGGAGATACCGCACTCCAAGACTTCTCACGAAGGAACAAG